CTCCCCTGCCACCTCCGGCACCGCCGCCTGCTCGTCCCGGCCCTGCCTCCACGCTGCCGGCTCCCACTCCCTCGTTCTGGCCCTTGCTTCTCTCCATTGCCTTCCCGCTTCTTGCGTGGAGGTAGCAACTGCTCTTTTTGCTTGTTTCCCCCTCCTCAACACTACTAGCTGACCTTCCCTACCTCTTCACCCCCCTGGCCGTGTGTTTCCCTGTTTGCGCTCCTCAGCTAAGGCCCTACCCTCCAGGGTGTCCTAATCCCGTGTTGAGCTCCCTTTGAAGTGCTCTCCCGCCCCCCATTATGTTTGCAGGCTCCAGACCATGTTCCACCAATGCCTCCAGCTGGGTTGCTTACCCTCAGATCTCCTCTTCCAGGAGGTAGCGCTGCCTATAGAAATAACTTCTGCCCAACACCCATTCCACGTGTAATGCGCGTTCTTCAGTTTTTGCATCCCATCAGCTTTGCCACTGCATCTCAGTCCTGCTTCTCCACTGCCTCGGTTGCAACATTAATCATGTCCTTCCTTTTAAATTGGAAAAATGTACTGAAAACTTACTGGTTTTATGCTGCCTAGACTGTAAATGCTTGGGGTCATGCACCTGCATGTCTCCCACCGCAGTGAGGAGTTTCAACAGACCACGGAAGGTGGGTCGTATGCTATTGATGCTAATTCAGTGACGAATCTGAAATCCATTTCCTTAATAAAATAACAAAGTTCAAACAATGTAATGTATGAGGTTGGCCACGGCCCAGTTCCGAGCATCTCCTTGGGGATGCTGTACACTTTAGTTTTTGTTATACCTACCTCCAGCCTCGGACGCTGTTGGTGAAGTGCCAAGGAATCAGATCTTGTGCATCATAAAGAAACAAATGGAAAAACAAGTAGTAATACCAGAGATTTATCTCTGCATTACCTCTGTTAGTTCAGGCATTCATGAACTGAAATGCGTATTACAACGAAAACAGAACAGAATATATTGTGTAGATAGTCACAGCAGAAGCTATTTGTATGCTTTTAAAGCATGTCAGCACGGCTTTCAGTGAGAACAACATGAGCTTCAAAGAAACAGGAGCTAAGTTCAATCGGTTGATGGAAAATGCAAGAGGCGCTTATTAACCTCAAACCCTCCAGATGTGCTCTGGGGTGGGTTTTATCACAGTGTCTCCATTTTTAGGTTTAATATACCTTTTAAAGACACAACACCTCTTAAAATAATGTGATCATAAATGTAAAGAAGGAAGCATTCTGATCCAAATACATTTTTTTAGAGTCGTGGGTGAGATCTGAATAAGACATAAAGCTGCATTTCTCCAAAAGATTGATGCCAGTGAGAATTGGTTCAGATAATTTTATGTTTTTCATCATTTACAATATTGTTTAGGTCCCTTTAGGCAGACAGTTTCATCCCTTGACGAATTACAGGGATAGCAAATAGAGCATAGGAGTGGGCTAGGAGAGCTCCTGCAATTTTCACAAGATCTGTACAACCTGCCAGGTTCTTCTTCCCTTTTTCCTGACCGCTGGCTCTGAGCAGGGTCTGCAGTGTCTCACACATGCTTGTTTCTAAACCAGCATGGTCATATTACCCCACTTTCCCCGTAGATCCTGAGTGATGTGTGAGAGGGCTTGCAACAATTTAAATGCAGGGAAGACCATGAGGCATTTGGACATCTTGATAATGAGGAATGTAAAATATCACAGACAGATACACAAACCAAAAACTGCTTCCCTCAGCACTTCAAATGCAGAACTGACTGCCTAGGAACACAGAAGTCCTTTCTCCAAGGAGTCACTAGCTTCTGGGTGAAATCTCAGCTGTTACTCCTGAAGGAGATTACAACAGAAGAAATCCTGGATTCTCACCGCAGTGGTGAAAGAGAGAGACAAGGCAGATATCAGGTATATCCGGATTAGAGTTTTAGGTTTAGTGATACAGTTTGAGATTAGCATACTCTTCATAAGAAAAGTATTCATATTTGACTCATTCTGCAAACACCGGAGACAAATACAATTTTTGCAGTGAATCACAAAATAACATTGTCTAGGAATAAAAAGAGTTAGCGAGGCCCATCTCCTCTCTGCTGACTTGGGTTGGGTGCACCTGCCCTTTAGCCTTAGTGATCTCAAACTCAGGCACCTACTGAAAGGCAATTATAGCTACTCTGCTGTAGCTAATGGAAAGCAAAAGCATGCCCAGAGCATGATACATCCCATCACAAAATAGTACCTTCAGGCTTCTGGAGAAGCTCACCTCATTCCCTTGTCTATAAAGGGAATGCAGACAACTACCTTAGCCTACTCACTGAATTTTTAGATAGCTAATGCGAGGCGAGAAGAATCCCCTCCTCACTGATTGACCATAGCAGAGAGATCACGCAGTTCTAAAAACAGCAACACAGGAGTGATGATGTTAAACTGAGGGCATGGCTCTTGCCCCAGGTATTTTTGAAGATGTCCAACCGCAAACATGGAAGAACACACACTAGGTGTAGGTCAGCTTTCTACCATGGTGCAATATTTCATTACCACTCCAGCTTTTGTCGGAAGGTGGTAAGGGTCTCTGGTGTTGTTGAGTTCAGCAAACTTTTCCACGTCATCTCGCGTAACCACTTCATGTGATCACCATCGTTACTCAGTCCCTGTGATCAGCTCTCTAACATGCAATCTTACATTCTATGACTGCTTCGGGTGAACTCGGTGCATCTCGCCTACTCTGAGGTGCCAGCAATCATACACTGGCATATCTATACATTACATTTCCATTTCACCCTTTGGTACTCCTGATACTAAGAAATCTAAATCTGACGGTCATAAATGTTATGGATTCTAGGGCAATCTAGAGAAAAAGAAAAAAATTCAAGGTATCTTACTACGCCTGAAGGTGATAAGTCATTTTAAGAACAAAATACATTTGCCTATTATTCCTCAGCAGACTGAATTTGCCAGACTAATCATAGAGAAGCTCCATTAAAGTGAGTTATAAAAATCAATAAAAATAAATCAATTAAATACAAAAGAGTACGTTCTAGGTCAGGATGAAGAACAAAACTGACAAGGACGTCAGCTATCTGCCCTTTCTTCTGACCCCAGAAGTCTTCAAAATTCTCTCACTCAGTTTTAATTTCTCTTTCAAATTTTCAGTGACCTCAGTCTGGGAAGGGACTCACATGTTCATGTCACAGGGATTTTCTGTGGTACGTCTCACCATCACATCAGAGCTCCACCTATAACTTATAACCGGTTTTCCTACAGTCCTGTGAGAGAGAGAGGAAAGCACCTTAATTTCCCAAACTTTCCAGTGGAGAAAACCAACATGAGATGGTGATAAGATTTATCCAGTATCCCTCAAGGATTTGTGTACAAGGCAGGAGTGAATGTTGCATTTTCCGAGACCAAGTTCATAAGCTCAACCAGAGGACTATTTTCATTCACAACTTCATGTTCATACTCTTGATCCCAGACGGCTGCCCACAAGACACAATTTTATGGGCTGGGGGTCCCAGCAGAAGGAAAAATTCCTCAGGAATATCCTCTCGGTTCCACTGTGTCTGGGAAGAACGCAGCCGTTCACAGCGGCTCATACACGGGTGGATTTGCAAGGATGGTTTTCCTCCCAAGGCCTGACCCCCAGCTGAGCAGAGGCCAGCACACACCACTCAGGAATCTCAATCATGGGCCTTCTGCCCCAGCAAGAGCCTTCCCTGTGCCCAAAGCCCCGCACGCCCCGGGGGGCTATTCCCACCAGCGTGTGTAACACGGACAGGAGCTGCACCCGTACCCTCTTGGACATCAAGAAAAAGCACTTTTGGAGGGCTCACGGCCTCACTTTCTCCTTCTGAGCAGTGAAGCGAAGTTGCAGATGCAGGCTGGGAGAAGCATGCAGGCAGCAAGGGCTGCGCCTCTCTCCTCCTGACAGCTCTCATCCAGGGAGGCAACAGCTGACCTTTATATTTACCTCACAAGACTTGTCAGTTGCTATTCTTGCTCTCGAATAAGGACTGGAGAAGGCTGCATGGGTACATGTGCAAGCCCTCCATGCCGTTAACAATAAAGCTGCAGGAACTAATCTCACAATTATTACTAGCAACAAGTAAATCCATCAAAGAAGCACGCCTTGAGAGCGCCGAGCAATGGGTATTCCTGGTTGTCTTGGAATACCCCCAGACAGGGTACATTTGGCCGTGAGAGAAATTTTGCTGTTTAGCTGAGCATCCAAACTGTCTGTCTGCCTTTGGCACAGACCGGGGCAAGGACAAGGGTTTGGGTTTGCATCTTGCACGCATATGGAACAACCCACTGAAATCTCCAGGTTCACCCTAGTTCGCAGTGGCAGAGACAAGGACACACAACCTGTATGGGCAGCAGAGTACGGGGGAATGCTGAACCAGAGGAGGGCAGGCGTCGGGCACACGGGCCAAGCCACCAGCCAAGGGGAGGTGGGGGAGACCAGGGGTGGGCCTGCAGGGAAGGGCAGGTGGGAATGCCTCTCCCCTCTCCCCAGGCACGTCCGTGCCCCTGGGAGGTTAGAGCCCAGAGCCGTCCCTTTACTCGGCGCTGAGAGAGGGGCACAGAGGGGAGCCCACAATGCTGTGACCATATTGCAGATGGCTGCTTGCAGGCTTGTTCCAGGGAGTCTGTGAGGAACCATCCACCGAAGGCCAGGAGCAGATGAGAGCCTGTTTGTACAGCTAGGACCTCCCAACGAGGCTACTGAGACAGTGATGGCTTCAGCCACCAAACACACCCTTGACGCCAGGGACCTTGCCTTCCTCTCATCACATGCAGCACCAGGCCTGCTGTTAGCCATTAGCGTCAGCAGCAATATTTAGTTCATCCAGCTCTAAAGTTGTAGCCATGTCACAAGCATGGGGAAACCACGCTGCTGGGGTGACGGATCTGGGCGTCACTATGAAAAACAAGAGAAGCATTTGAGCACAGCTGGGCTGCTGTGGCATTTTCCAGCATCCAGGCAGAAGCAATTTGAGCAAATTGCTGGGGCTATGTTTTTTCAGTGGCCAACCCACTGCTGTCCCACTGGAGGAGAAGATAACAGAAGAAAAGTTGGAGTTGGAATTTGCAGAAAGCGAAACCCTCTCTCAATGGCAAAACATCCACCATGTGTGTTTGTTGTGAACAAGGATTTCCTTTGTAATGTGAGACACGTGATACATTCACATGTAAGAGCATATACAACATGAGAATGAGACTGAGAAGTGAAAACTGAGTAGAGAGGGAAAATGATCAGTGCAATTTAAAGGAGGTTTGTGATACCAAGGGCAACTCCTGCTCCTGGAATCCTGTTACAACCTCAACTGTTGCTAAAAAAAAAAAGAAAGTTCAGCCTTCAAGCTTGAAGACATCATCCAGCTATACCGTCAGGGCTGAGAATCCCCAAATAAACACCAGAAGAGCTGAGAATGTCATCTTCTTTAAAAATCTCATGATTCTGAAAACAATCTCATATCTGGGGGAGAAGGAGATGGGGGCAGCACGATTTTGGAATACTTGAGGCTAGAGATGTTGCAACTGCCTTCTCCTTTCAAGTGAGGAAATATGGGAAGAAATACAAACACACTATCTGTCTTGAATGGCTGGGCAATGGGCTAAATATAGAATCTGCTCTGTCCTACTTAAGTTATGACTAATGCTAAACAATTAGAAATTCAGATGTCTGCATATTTGAAGGAGCAAACATCTCTAATGCACCATTTGTTGTTCATTAAAAAATGGAAGAATCAAAGTCTCTCTAAGCTCCAACTAGGCTGCACTTATCAACAGGTGCGTGTTGCTGGAAGTGGAGCCCCATGAGACTAATTGCAAGGGATAATGAACAAGATGAGGCGTTTCTTGGAAAAAAAGATTGTTATCTTTATAATGACCATACTCATGCCAAAGACTGCAAATTCGTTAGGGAAAGGACTTTCTTTTTTGTTCCATGCCTGCCTGGTGTCTAGCACAGCGGCGCCCTAGTCTGTGACTAGGAATCCTAAGTGTTACTGCAATTCAAGCAGTACATTATAGTAAATAGTAGTATTAAATTAGCTGGGAACATGAAGGTGGTTTTCACCAGCATCTCTGATGTACAGGATCAACAAACATTTCTCTAAGCCAGAGGCCAATGGAGTTTTATTTGAAAACACTTCATTTTTATGAGGAGAAGACAATGCTAATACAAAACTACAGCTTGCTCTCAGGAATTTGGCAGGACTTCTTGTCTGGTTCCTCTAATTCAGGGCTGCAGTGTCTGGAAGCACTGGAGTGGGTTTTGATATAGCCAAGATGAAAGACTGGGTGAAGGAATCAAAGTACAGAATAAAAACACAAATCATGCCAGCCACTAAATGGAAGAAATGATCAGTCTCGACCGGTCAAAATTTCCAGATTTCTCAACCGTTCCCATTCTTACTGTGGGTTACTGCTATTGCAAAGCATATACTTAATGAATTTCTTTACTGGATGGTTTCCTTCATCTCTCTTCTGCTTCATCATCATTACGGATGTAATGACAGGGGCTACAGATGGCACTGCCACACACACATCATCATATATTATTCTTTTAGCAAAAGAGGAAGATTTTAGTCTGGAAGAAAATACTGGCTTTATTCTTAACTCCTGATGTTGGGAGAGCAAAGACGAGTGGCAATAGAGGTATTGTAGCTGCTTGTCTACAACTAGGAGCTTCCGGTAAACTTAGAAGCAGGTATATTGTCGGCCTGAGTTTGTCATAAAAACCCCTCTATTCCAGGCTAGTGGATATGAAAATCAAGTAAGACGGACTATGAATATTCCTAGGCACTAAGTGTTTGATTTCTCCTTCACCAGGAAACAGTGGTGCCAGTGGCCTGACATCAGGCCACTTGATAAGAAGCAGATCTCAAACTGCTTTGCAAATATTACCGCTGAATTTAATGAAGTTAATGAATAGCCATATATAACTAATTTTGTTTAGCACTGAAATGCATTCTGTACTGAGATAGTCCAACACCACCCAGAATCAAGGCCCACAGACTGGGCTAAAACTAGAACCAGGACATGTGTATAGATACTGGATCCAAGCGAGGCTGCAGGACGGGTGTGTTACGGGCAAGCCTACCTCTTGTAATGGGTGCAGAGATGCTTGGAGTACCCAAGCTTGCATCATACTGCTCTGGCAATGCAATGCCGCATCTCATGTAAGATTCTTGCTGAGGGCTGGTGGCTCCTCACTTTTCTTTGCAAGAGCAGGCACATGGGTTTGGAGCAGTAGTAGCTCAGCACTCTCTCACTGTGCTCTGCTGTACATGTCCTTGGATCAACAGTTAAACTGAAACTTGGCTAAAACCATCTGGAAAAATGCCAAGAGCTCTTCAGCACCCATCTCTGACATAACCTGGCTCATCCGGATGAAGTTTTTACTAAATGACAGAGGAAGGATGAGATTTTAGGAGGGAATAACTCAAGCAGAGAGCCATAGGGTGGCCTCAAAGACATTAGAAGCTACAAGTTCAAAGCTCCTCCTAGGATGCTTTCAAACGGGAGAAGACAGCTGCTACCAGAGGGGCCAAAGCTTTTTTTAAACTTAAAAAATATCATCAGACCTGTAATCAGTAAATAAAGT